ATATATGTACTCAATATTTTCTTCTATGAAATATGATGCAACAATTTCCATGAAGAAACAAATTCTAATCATAGGAGGGAGGGAGGGAGAGAGAGAGAGAGAGAGAGAGAGAGACGCTTGTGCACATTTTATAGATAATTAAAATAATTGAAAAATATTTAAATTACAATATTGCAAATGGGTAATGGTTATATAGGTGTTAGTCGAGTCGAAATGTATACTTAAGATATTGATGCATCTTGTTCTAAAGTTTGGTTATTTGTCGAAGTGTACGAATTCTTTATGGATCAAATAAACTCTGAATTTAAATTTTTAAAAAATGAAAAAAAAAAAGATTGTAAACCTTCAAACATGGGTCTTACAGTGCCAAAATTTTAGAGATGCTTTTGTAAAATCATTAATATTTCCATTATTTGATAAAAAAGGGTTTTCTCAAGAAATTGTACGTTCTGTAATTAATTGTCGAGTAATACTATTTATCATTATGATAATGAAACATTGGTGATGTGACAATTCATTATTTTTCACATTTCCGTCTCTCTCCTCTCCTTCTCTTCCATAAAAATGGAACCGTCAAATTTCATTATTCCAAATTGATTGATACATTATCGATGTTCTATATCGTAATGATAAATAATATTATTCTTAATTGTCTCTTCAATAGCAAATAAACAAGGATAAAGAATGCAATGAACTTGATCTTAAAACAAGAGAGCATTTTTCAGTCTCTTGGATATAGTTATTCTCTTTTCAAATTGAAGCCCCCGTTTGGCCCCCATTATTTGACATTTTTTACAGTTGAAATTTTTTGGAATAGTGATTGATGGGAGTGTGTGGTGGAAAAGTAATGAAAAGTTTTAGATTTGTGTGTAATATTATTTTATTTGATGAATGTGTTGTTGTAATGAAGAGAGAAAAATTTAACATAATGTAATTTAATTTAATGGGGGCCAAATAGGGGTGACATCCCAAATAACTGGTATCAATTAGTTTAACAGGATTTCACTATCATTATTTGGATAACAAAAGGTGCAGAAATTTTGATGTTAATTGTGACCATTTCGAATTTTGAATTCACTATCATTTTTTGGATAACAGAAGGTTTGTGCAAAATTTCGTATCCTTATAAAAGTAGCAAATGCTGACTTTAGAAATTGATCTTATAACTTACCGTCATGATTTATCATTGTAACAGCCTGTTTGTTTCCAATTTTTTAGCTCATTTTAATAAATTTTCCTACCGTTGCAAATCTAAGAAGCCATTTTTTTTTACATTTTTTCTCACAATGGGACCCACGTGTTGAAAAAAAAAATGAGAGTAGAAAATTGGGTTGTTTAAAGGCAGTATTCAAAAATGCTCGCCTAATAATG